CGAAGTGAAGTGAGCCGAACGCCGTTCGGCTATTCACTTCAGGCTTGTACAGCTGATTTCAGCCGTACACCGACTGAAATCAGCCGTACAACGGCTTGCTGCGGCTGGGTTCGGGTCGGCCGAAGGGCAGAAGGAGTTTGACTTAGCTAATCCAACATCTGGATCGGCTTAGCTCGTTGCTGTTCGGTCTATTCTCATAGGGCCCAAACATCAGTGAGTGAATAGCCGAATGCGGCAGAGCGCCATTCAGCTCAGCTATTCTGCTCGGTACCTCTGTGGTACCGAGCAGAATAGAAAAAGTAGAAAAAAAAGGAGAAAATGATTGGGCGGAGTTAGCAGTGACAGCTAGCTCCACCCAACTGTTTTCTATTGGACGGGACCAGCTGTCATTACAATGAGAACTTGTCGGAGCCGGCGGTCATATCAAAGCCGGCTCCGACAAGCTCTCATGACAGTCCAGCTGTCATGGTTAATAGGTAACCAGGAGATGCTGAACTGTCATTACACACTGAGAACCTGGAGGAGCCGCCGTGATATCACAGCGGCTCCGCCGGGTTCTCAGTGTAATGACACATCAGCGTCCGTGGTTAGCTGCTAACCAGGGGACGCTGATCTGTCTCTGCATGCAAGTGGCCGGAGCCAACCGTGAGATGATGGCTGGCTCCGCCAAGCTGTCAGTAGCAGGTTGTCGGCCAGCCGTTCCAGCTTCGGCTTTCACCTCGGCTCAGTTGAGCCGAAGCATATGCCTTCGGCTCGACTGAGCCGCTCGGCCAACTTCGGGAGCTGTACGGGCTCAAGTGAATAGCCCGTACAGCAGCCCTTCAGTTCTACTCAACCGAAGGGGTCCTGGGGCCGAAGCTAGCCGAAGGATCAGCCGAAGCTATGGCTAGATCCTTCGGCAGCTTTGTGAATAACCCCCATAGTACTATGTATCCCCAGTTATGAATGAACAGGCTGTGATTTACATTACAGCCTGTTTATTCATGAATTTCTGAATGGGGAGTAGAACTCCCTATGGAGGCTTCTCCCCATTCATAAACTGCTTGATAGTAAATATTTTACTATCAGCAGTTTCTGAATGGAATGGGAAGCCTCTGTACTGAGTGTTTCCCATTCATTGAGTGCTGAGGCTGCAGAAAAAGAAATTGAGGATTTGGTGTCCTCAATTTCTTTTTCGATTTCAAAAGGGAAATGTCAGGGATCTGTTTAGACCCCAGAGATTTCACCGTAGCCCCCCCAACAGTAAGCAAATGAATACAAAATTATTAAAAAATAAATAAAAAATGTGTTTCAACAATTGAAT